CTCTCTCTCTCTCTCTCTCTCTCTCTCTTCCTCTCCCCCTCTCTCTCTGTCGCTCTCTCTCTCTCTGTCTCTGTTTTCATCGTATAAACGCCGGTTAGCGTTCTTTTGACGAGAAGGACCAATCTCGGATCCAATCGCGAGGGTAACTTCGGGTAATTATTTAGTTTACTTTAGCGAACATATCGCTCACCCTGGCTCAAGACTGCGAGATGGGCTCCTGCTTGAATCATGCGCATTCTCCTGATTCGCGAGTTTTCACAAACCTGAATTACAAGAATTGTATTTCCAGATGGAGTGAGCTATCAAAGACATCACCTGTAGATTTGTTCTGTTTTCTCGAAATTTCGCGGTCCAATAAATTCGAATTTCATGAACAAATTTATTTGAGCTATTTAAGTTATCCACACCAGCTACCTTATACCAGGTTAAGGCTAATCAAAAAAGTTTTAATGGGATCGTTTTGAGGAAATTGTGGGCAATTTCTGCTTTGTCACCTTATGACCCTGATTTCTTGCGTATATTTCCTTCAGAGCCACTATGTACCCACCCCTCGCCTGTAAGAAACTAGTTGACGAGGATTTCCCACAACACCTTGCGCATCAACCAAAACATGGAGGAAGAAGCTGAGTTCGAAGAACGTGAAATTGATGATGATAATTTGCTCTCAGGAGGCCTCGGTTTTCAGAGCGTAGCAATCGGTACCGGAGGGAGACGCAAATGGAAAATACTTGTATATCTTCAATGCTGTAAGTTTTATTCGACCCGAACTGCTTTTCGGTTCGAAGATACTAAGTTACTCAGTTTGAACACTTAAATTACTCTGCTAAATTAATAAAGAGCTTGCCTACTTCCCTTATTTCGGCAACGACTCTTACGTCTACTTACTTACTCCACCTTATTTTGCTAAATTATAGCAATTAGTGGGAAGAATTTTCGCATAACGCCTTTAATGTTTGTCAAAATTTAATTTAATTCCATTCTTTTTCCTGGCATGGTTTTACGCTCTAGATTTTGTAACCGTGGCGGCCGTTTTGGGAACTGGCGTTTTAGGTGAGTGGCTCAAACCCTTTCGCTCCAAAGATCTCAAAATTAATTGCTGTCTGCCTTAAAATTCTTATGATGTTAGTGTGGAGAATTTGATCATGGATCAATTCAATAAATAATCTCCCAATTGATATTTTCCTCTATTCCCATCACTTGTCTGCTTGATACTATTTGATCTTGTGAGGAGAAATTCTGTTTTGGTCACTTATGAGGGCTACAGATGATTTTTGAATCCTAATCAGGAAATTGCTTGTCTTGACATAGGGCCTGTTCACACTATGCAAAATTTTGTTTGTTTTGCAAAAAAAATCTGTCAACGCGAAACCATTTTCAGTGGGAACGATTTTTTTGACTCACAAAATTTTCACAAGAGCCACCAAACTTCAAAGATGCTTTCAACTACTTTTGGAGGCCCACAATTTTTTGTCAGGCGAGAAAATCTTTTGTCCCTAGACAGATACCCTTCAACTGGTCATCATGTTTCGTAGGAAAAAGGCATCGGGAAAGTTACAATTTCAAACCAGGATTCTACAGGTCAATGGTGGTGTTGATGTCTGTTGAGCAACTGAGTTAAAGTCTCCATGATTGATAAAAGCTGAATTGATAAAAGCTGAAAGTAATTGTTGACTAGCCACAAGGAAGTTTTGCATGGCAAGCAATCAGCAAAGAAGGGTGATTAAAACATTTCGCAGGGACATTTTGCTTTGCAATCAGTATCATCATGAAATCTCGGTATCTTTTTCGATTGCTTGACATTTGAGGTTATCAAAATAATTTGCACGTCTCAAGTGCAAATGCTATTACAAAAATAGAAAATTCGTTGTTACAAAATTTTCAATTTTTTTGCAAACACCAAACCAAATTTTTCAGTGTAGTGTGATGGAACAGGGCCATAGACTGCCATGTTGTTAAAATAGGAAAGGCCCATGCCTGAACACAAAAAAAGTTATTGGAATTGGTGTTAATTTTTTCCGATATACCTCAAGGCACCGACTGGTAATATACTGATAGGATCAGTGTTGTCAAAATTATCATCTACTGTGAAATAGATTGATAAATGATATATTTCGTTGTTGGTTTTTTTTTTTTAATATAAGAATTTGTTATTAAGAGATTCACTTTCCATGACTAGGGCTGCCATTGGACTTTTCTCAGTCAGGATATTTGCCAATAATAGTGGTATTTCTGATTGAGACCATTGTACAGGTAAGATGGAGGCATGATATCAGGTTTTATTATCCAATTGTGCTTCGTAGAGTACAAATAATGCGTGAGATGTGTGAGATGAATACAAATATCACGCGATATTTGTACTCTAGAAATCTACAAAATTTGCCTGCACTGAAATAACTACCAAGCCAGCAGGCTCTAATTAGAGATGCAAAACAAGCCACTTAGCTTGCAATATAGTTTTGAATTGTCAAGTAGTTCAGCAAAAGAAGTGTCATTTCAAATTTCTGATACAAAACTCACAGGCCAAGGAACACTTGTCATAGTTGTAGTAGTAGCCTGCTTGCAGGCTACTTAACATCTTCCTGAACTGTGTTTGTATAAATGTTTTTCATTTTTCATCCTATATAACCCCAACTAAGGCAATTATTTATGTCTTCTTAAGTTTGATGCACCATTCCAAGTTACAACTGCTTTGATCACAATATTGAATGTAGGAACAAGTTTATGGTCTGTAGTTTAGCTACCTGTGAGCAACAGACATTTAGTGAGCTGCTTTGCTCACATTTGGTCTAAAGTTTAACTAAGATAAAAATTTGCATCAAATGTTATGTTATATCATACTGTATTATATTTTAAGCATTTCGTCTGCCGATTTTATCATAGTTTTAAAGTTTTTTGTAAAGCACACACAATCATGAGGTCAAGTAGCATGTGCAATATAAGTCTGAAAATTATCATTAAAATTATTATTATTATTATTATATTGCTCTAAATGTCCTTTCCAATTTTTCAATCTTTTTCTCCATTTTCCCTTTGGTAGTCAAATTCAATTTCTGACAGACATTTTAATTAACTCTTTCACTCCCAAGATTTCAATTGTTTTAATAATTCTCTCGTCTGCTATACAATTCTTATGATTGTTAGTTTGGAGAATTTAGTATTGGATCAACCAAAAATTCCCTCCCCTCCCTCCTTATATAGCTGGCATCTGAACCTTAGCCTTTTCACTCCCAGGATCTCATAAGTAATTCTCCTTACTGTCTGCCATATAGTTCTTATGATGTTAGTTTGGAGAATTTTGTATTGGATCAACCTAAAATCTCCTAATTGATATTTTTCTTTATTCTCATCACTTGTTTTCTTGATATTGTGTTGATATGGTAAAGAGAAATTCTGCATTGGTCACTTATGGGAATTGAAGCATTAACCTTGAGAAAACTAGAGCTGAAAGCCTGGGCCCAGTTGTTCAAAGGCCAATCAGTGCTGACCCAGGGTTAAATTTTAATCCTGATTTCTATATTTCTCTGTTTAAAAGCCATTTTGGAACAATTTTTCCAATTCTTATTAGAGCATTTAATCATCAAATTGTAGACAGTGAAATTAAACTGAATTTTCTGTCAAAGCTTTCAGATCCGATATCAAATTTCCAACTAACCCTGGGTTATCTTAACCCAGCTTTGAACAACACGACCCTGATCTTAATTTTGCTAGTCTCTCCTACCTACGTGTGAGTCTTCAACTCTTTCACTCCCGTGAGGGACTAAGGCAGAATTTTTCCTTACAATATATCCATACAATATCAAGCAAACAATTAACCAGAATGAAGAAAAATATCAATTAGGGGATTTTAGATTTATCCAATACAAAATTCTCCAAACTAACAACCTAAGAACAGCAGACAGTAAGTAGAATCACCAATGAGATCTTCTTGGTAAAAGGGCTAAGGTTCAGAGCCAAGCTAGATGAGCTGAGTTTTTGGCCCAATTAGAATTTAAAATTTCTTTTTTAAGAATGTTTGGAATGACAGGTACAAGTTAAACAAATCATGTACCCAGCAAATCGAGAGATTGTGATCTTGTGCCCAAAGTTACTTTTTTTGTACAGGGTGATGGTGTGCCCAGAAAAATTTATTGCCCATTATAGCTGTGGTATTCTTTTTTTTTTTAGTTTTGATCTTGATCATGATAATTTGTTGTTCTGATCTGGCAGACTTTGGTAGTGTTATATTTTCTGGAGCTGTTACAAAGAAGCTATCAGGCCAAGAGACAAGAAGTTTTTGAAACAAATGTCGTAAGTCTTATATTAAATTTTAGGGAGGTGCATTGGCCACATGGTTTGTGCACTTGATTGAGTGGTCTGGGTTCAAGCCCTGGCTGGGAACATTACATCGTATTCTTGAGCAAGACACTTTTCTCTCACAGTGCCTCTCTTCACTGAGGTGTTTAAATGGGTACCAGTGAATTTTTAATGCATGGGGGGGGATGGTAACCTGCAATGGACTAGCATCTCATCCAGGGGGGGAGAAGAAATACTCCTAGTTGCTTCATATTGCAGTCACCAGAGTTCAGGACCAGCCTGATGGGCAACTTGGCCCATAAACAGACTTCTATTTAAAATTCTGTCAGCATGTTATTCTATCAACAATATCAACCTCCAGGGGTTCATATTGCCATTGTTGTTGTTGTTGTTGTTGTTGTTTTTTCGATGCTAATTTCTTTTATTTTTTTTTTTAAACATTCAGCTAACAGAGGAGGAAGGTGATCCACTGAATGATGCAGAGAGAAATGATGATGAGGAACAAAATAGTAAATCAGAAATGGAACTGGAGCTCTGCAGAAATGACAAAGGTAGGAAGATTCCAATACACATAATTCTGGGCTTGATACCTGTTCAACTGACCCCGTGTAACTCATCGCAACCCTCTCTGTTACTTCAGTTTGATTTTTGGTCCTCTAACCCTCTACACCTCAACATCAGTATGATTGTATATTCTCCATACTGTTCTCCATACAAATGAATAAAGGTTGATAGTTTCGAAAGAAACTGTTTGGGGCTGCGTCAGTGGGAGTAACAAAATAATTTGGATATATCAACAAAGTTGAAATGGTAAATTGGCCACCGTAACGATTACAAAGCTGATGTTTCGAGCGTTAGCCCTTCGTTGGAGCGAATAGAGGAATTGTGGGTTGTGTGTGCTTTTAAAGGCAGAAAATGGAGCTACGTTATTGGTGGGAACATGGCAATGAGAAAAACATGAATAAATTAGTGGAATTAAAAGTGTCAGTTGATCCCTGTGGGATTTAGACTGCCGGTTTGAAAGATGAGCTTTTGTTCAAGAGTTTTATGGCTTTCCGTGCTACCTAAGTTCTCTATACATACCCTAAGGCGTTGGCAAGGAGAATTTGTTTAACAATCATTACATGCTTCTTGGTGATCATCTGCTTTTAATTGTTCTCATGACCTAAATGGGTATTTGTGGTTGATTATGAGCCGAGCAATTTAGATGCCCTTCACTCTCCAGGGTTTAAGTCATAACCTTTGGGAACAACATCACATTTTGTGCATCCTGGAAAGTTTTGTTTACTTAAACAGATTTTAAATTCATGGCCCACAACCTGTTCTTTACCTTCTGCCAACCTTATCAATACTTGAAATGTTATTGCACTTGCTGAACAGGTGGGGCAGGATTGGGGCTTAAAACTCCCTGAAGGTGAACCACATCAGTGACAAGCAAAAACTTAACCAGGATTGTTTTTAATTACTCTTATTATTTACCAGACCTGGGGTAACTTAGATTAAAATTTTGAGTGGCTGTCTACTAAGCTTGGGAAGATTTTCATTTCCACCTTATGAAAGATGCAGTACTGTTGTTTTAAACCTTTAAACTCCCATGAGTGACCAAGACAGAATTTCTCCTGAATTTAATTTAATTTATTCCATTTTCACTGCATTAATTTGCTGTGGGGAAGGACTAGAAGGGAACATACGAACTATTCGAGCAACTCCACCTTCCCACCCATCCCACCCCAGGGGAGGACATCCATCACACACTAATCCCGTGTGTGGGAAATTAATGTCTCCTACCCCAACCCTGCAGGAGACGGGACCTCCATTTATTCGTCTCTATCCGAGAAGACTGTAATATCTAAACCATTTCTTGATGTTATAGAAAGGTAGCAAATTCTTCTACATCATCAATACAATATCAAGCAGACAAGTGATAAAAATTAGGAAAAAAGAAAATCAGGGGATTACCAAATTCTCCAAACTAACATCATAAGAATTGTGTGGCAGACAAGAAGAAGAATTACTGGCTTGGTCATTGTGTTGTGTACTCGGGCAAGGCACTTTACTCTGATTCGCAGCATGTGTCACCACCCAGGAGTGTACATGGGTATTGGTGAACCCTGAACATCATGTTATTTTCAAGCTGCTTCTCTATACCTATAAAGCACTTCATGATCTGGCTCCTGATTACTTGGCTAATCTGTTAACTCGCCATACACCTGTCCGCTCTCTTTGTTCATCAAGGACTATTAATCTGTCTGTCCCAAGATCTAGAACCTCTACCTATGGCAATAGATCCTTTGTGTGTGCATTCCCTATGCTTTGGAACAAACTTCCTGATTTTATAAGATATTCCGAAACCTTAGATTCCTTTAAAACCAGGCTCAAGACTCACCTTTTGAAAATCGCTTATAATTTGTAGTTAATTTTTATCTTATATTTGTACTTCAAATCTTATGTAAAAGCATTGAGACTCATGTATAATGCATTTTAAGAACTGTAATTATTATTATTACATAATACTGGAGAGGGATGTGGGGGGGGGGGTATCCCACATCCCTTCCAGGGAAAAAATAAATGCTCCTAATTGTTTCATACAATGGGAAGTGATTTACATCTGAGCATTGTGGGTCTGTCTTGGCTTGAATGCCAACTTAACCATGAATTTACAAACTATTCTGATTTATGACCTGTTGTAGTTTTCATGGACTCTCTTGTAGATGTAGAGGATGAGGTAGACATGCTAAGGACAACGGATGATCAGGATCCAATAAAAAATTGTCCTTCTCTTCACACAATGGCTGAGCTCTTCCTGCAGAATGGCACCAAGTGGTTGTTTGAAGCGATTGTACTGCTGATGTTGTAAGAACTTTTATTTGAAATGGTCCTTTATTTTCTGTGCTTTGCAAAATGCAGAGATTTCAATCTGTAACTAATTTTTGTCATCTTATAGTCATAACTGCTGATGCAATTCTGTGGTTGGTCTTAATTAATACAAATCAATGCTCATGCATTCTAAAAACATTTCAGTTGTTCTCAATTTTGAGAATTTCTGAGAATGCCAGAAAGTGTAGAATAAAATTTCTTCTTTTGATGTTTTCAGTGTCTCTGTTCTCATCAATTACGCTCTTGCCGGAAGTCAGGCTTGTTTACAGCTTCTGAATCTTAGGTGTGTATTGTGCATTTTGCATGTTGCTTGTGCCAGTAAATCTACAGATTACCTTTCAAAGTGAAGAAAACTATCTAATCTTCTGGAAGCTTCTTGTGTTATTCTTTGTTTTTCTCATAAGGAGCTTAATTGCATATCAAAGCAGTACAAATAGCTTAAAACTCTTGGACACAATTTCATATTGATTCCATTTTAAGCTTTAAGGCACGTTATTTGTTTTAGACTAAGGTGTATTTGCCAAATGAGATCTTGTCTCGAGAAAATCAAAAGCCACCTAAAACCTTTCTGTACTTTTGTATTGTGCTTCTTTCATTTAAAAACAATTTTAGTTTTCAATTTGACTGTCACAGGATTACAAATTTAAATGTTCTATCTACGGTAGCTTAGCATGGTCAAATAGCATGTTATTATGATACTATCCTTAAATTTTATTTGTAAGTTATGATTCTCATATATCTTTGCCTCTGGTAGCAAGTTTTTGGGTTCCATACAGTGAGAGGAGATGTATAACGAAATAGAAATTTTTTTCTCTTTATTTACAGGGTGGATTATGGAGTATCAGTCTTTGTTTGGAGCTGTGCATTCTTGATTGTCTTTATTAATTTCTGTGTCCTGCCATTTGTATCTTTGCTAACATTTATGGGAGGATGTTTGATACTCATTGTTATTGTAAGTACATGGTTCTGTGATCTGACAATGAAAATTTTAAGCTAGACTGCACAGTGAATTTTCAGTGGAAAGGCTCTTGTCCACTGTAGCCAAGGTGAATTGGAATTTGGATTGTTGCTTTTTGTTGGGTTTAATGCTGTTATATGTTTCATTTCTTGTCAGTTTGGAGTTTTCAGATGAGTTTTTTGAAAAGTTTGCAGCTACCTTACTTTTAATTTGGGTTAGATTTGAATTCAGCATGGTTGCAAGTTCAGTGGAAAAGCACCAAGTTATGAATGGCACTTTACTGATTGCTTATCATAACTTTGAAAAATGATCATTCAAACAAATTTTGGTGAAATTTTGTAAAGATCTTTCCAAGAACATTTTGGGTGCTGCCCTTTATCACCAATTCAACTTTTACTTGCTACACTGTAAGAAGTCTGATTATGAGCCAAGTGATCCATCAGATCAGTGCTTAACTCTAGTTTCCATAGCATGAAGTGAGTAGGAGTATTTCCACTCCCCCCCCCCCCAAGGCGGGATGATAGTACATCACAGGGTTTCCCTGCAGCATTGCATTTCCTGGTTTCCATTTAAATACCTGGGTGAGGAGAGGCACTTTGAGTCTGAGAGTAAAAGTATCTTGGCCAAAGACCAAAACAATGTTCCAGGCCAGGCTTTGAACCCAGACCACTAATGATCCAGAGTCAAGCGCACTAACCAGTGAGGCCACCGCACCTCCATTTGTATTTTTTTTCTGTGTGTTCTTACCACATTTTGACAGCATCTATGATCAGAAGTGTGGCAACATGAATTCTTTTTGTCAATAAATCAACCTAAAAATGGAACTTTTTTCCAGGTCTGGGCAACTTTAAATATAGAGAGCCAAGTGGGGAGTGTTCAGATTTTCGGTGAACTGAAGCATATTGGTCAGCCATTGGTTTTTGGCACAATTACAATGGGTGAGTGTACTCCTACTCGTGATCAATTGACCAAACAGAACAGTGATTGTTCTTTTATATTTATTTCTGAGGGAACTATGTAGCCTGCTTGCAGGCAGTAGTTTGTGTTTCCAATGGGGAGATTCTGTAGAACAATTATTTGGTCACAATATTGGACAGGTGGAAGATCTGGGACAAGTGATATAGGGAGGGAGGGGGTGAGGGGAGAGAAAAACAAGAAAAACCCCTGCCCCTTCCCCCTCACTTTGTCACTTGTCCCACTGTCCATTATGGCTAGGAAATGTTCGCCATGCTGAATTTCAGGCTAGAAAACACCAACTACCACTTATAAGCAGGCTAGGAACTATGTAGAGGGTTTTGGCCTGGGTTTCAGGTTCTTGCAATATTGGTCTGTGAAAGGGTTGGAAGAGAGAACCTGGTAACTGCACAGTTTGAGATATTTGTGTTCCTTTCATTTTTAATATGTAATTTGATTAAATTTTTAGGAGGGGTTGTCAACATACTCCCAGTGCTATTTGCAAAAATGAAGCCTTGTGTTTCAGAGGTAGGAGCAAATACAAATTTGATTTTGCAAATATTATTCTTTGTATCTAATATTTACCACTTGCATAAATGAAACATTACAAAGCTGTGAAATATAAAAAAAAATTATTCATAACCCTGGCAGGAAGTTGAGGCGTAACAGATACTCTAAAATGTTTTAAAATTGAAAATTCTTCTTTGCTTCAAATTTTTATAGATTAGGGGTTTTTACCGATCTGTTATTGCTGGATTGCTGACCTGTGTAACCCTTACCACATTTTGGTTAGTATCTTAATATATTTTTTTTGCTTCAAGCTGAAGAACTGTTGTAATGTTAATAGTGATTTTTTTTTTCTTTCAGGCTGGTTACATATGGTGTTTCAACTACATCTCCCTTGACAAAGGTACTTAACTTTTTCTGTGCAGTTTTAACGATGAAATTGTTTTAAATTTCTATAAATCTTCCTGGACACTGGGTTGAGAGTAAGTAAGTAAGTAAGTAAGTAAACTTTATTTTGATAAGTAGGTTGAGATTGTTTCGATCAGACTACACCTTCAGAAGGGCTGATGTGGACCTACTATACACAATCAAAATTTGACAAACACAAAAGATATTAACAAAAGAATAAAAGCTATGTACAGGGAGAAATCAATATATATAGTTACATACATACATGACAATGAACTGAGGTCCAGGGATAAGAACTAGCTGCCTTACTGCAGTGCTTTCAATAAGATCCAGCACCTGCCGGAGCTCCAGAGGGTATTCTGTTGTGAGTTGCTCTCTGGCGGTTGCTGTACAGAGGTAGCCACCTATTTCAAATCTTACTGAAAGCACTGCTTACTGTGTTGTGTTCTTGGGCAAAACAGTTGACTCTAACAGAGCCTCTCTTTACCCAGGAGTAGAAATGGGTACTAGCAAGCTGTCAGGGAAGCTTGATGAAATGCAGAGGGGGGAACATTTTGATGGACTGGCATCCCATCCAGGAGGGGGGGAGGGGAGAGGAGTGATATTCCTTGTTGCCTCATGCCATGAAAACAGGCCACATGCCTCAAGAACAGGCTTTTTCTAATGCCTCTCATCCTGATATATCATTAAAGTTCACTTTGTTTCTTTCCATTTTGGTTTGCTTACAGGTTGTAACATCAAATTATGCAGCCTATGGTTGGATTCCTCTTCTTGTTCAAATATTCTTGATTATCAGTGTAACTGTCTCATTTTTGACCATGGGAACAGGATTGAAACAGATAGGTAAGGAGACTGGAACCTAGAACCTGTTAGCATTGCTAGAAGAGATAAAATACTCATTATAAGTTAAGTTGTTTCGTTAGGGACTTTGTTTTACCTTGCTGGGAGAAGGGTGGGGGACATTTTTCCCAGTCATTTTAGAATGGTGAAAACTCATGTAAAACAGATTTTCAAAAATGATGGAGAGCAAGCTCTTTTTATTTTGCCTTTTCCACCCTCCCTCTTCAAAACATAAAGATTCTTTTCCAGGGAGGTGGGAAGTACAGCTTCATTTACTGTGCATTGCTTTTAATGATTAACAGTGTCCATGAACCCCCACCCACCCCCTATGCACCCACTCACCCACCCCTCCTTCTCACTTAGAGAGACTTCTCTGCAGGGTGGTGTAGAGTGCAGGTCATATGATGTTGTGTATATTGCTTGTTGCAGTTGACAGTTGGTTTGTCATATTTTATCCATCGGCTCCAACTTCCTGGCAAGAGGCAAAGTCCAAATGGGAGGGAATCTACCGTTGTGTCAATAGCAGATGGTCAGTGATGTATTAAGTTGGAATCTTCATTCTCCTTGCTGTCCTCCATACATTTTTTTTTTATTTTATTTAAAAGAATCTGCTGTCACTCCAGAAATTCATTCTTTTCGCATTCTTTTCACATTTCTCCTTAAAAAAGGAAACGATCACCAACTAAAGAAGCTCTTGATTGTTAAACAAATTCTCCTTGTCAGCACCTTAGGAAATGTATAGAGAATAGTATGGAGAATATGCACTCTGATGTTAGGGTGACTTGATGGTGTTAGGGGAGGTGAGAGGAGAGTCTAAAGAAGTTTGCCTCTTATTAATTTTGACAGCTTAATGAAGACTTTCCTGCTTTTATCACTGTTTGGATTTGTTTTTGCTGTAGCGGTACTGAACCCAGTGGTAAGTGACGCTATGCTCTCTCTCTCTGCCCCTTGTTACTTTCATTTGTACACCACCCACCCTTCCCTTATAACCGATTAACTGTCGTTTAATTTTTTTCAGGGTACTGCTTCAGCCTTACGGAACGTGGCATCTCTGACATCGATTGCTGAACTAGGTGTTTTTCTCATTATAATGCTGAGACGGGCACATGGTTCGGAGTTCAGGTGAGATTGAGCAAACATTGGCTAATTTCAGAACAAGTTAATTTGGTTTTATCAACTGAATTATTACCGTAAATTAGCCACCCTAAAGAGTTTCCGAAGCTAACGTTTCGATCGTCAGACATTCATCCTGCGTCAGTGCTCTGACGAAGGGGCAAACGCTCGAAACGTTAGCCTCAGAAACACTTTACGGTGGCCAATTTATATTGTTAACTCAGTTTATAAAACCAAGTATCTTGTAATACCCCTTGACCCCACCTCCCCACCCCATCTGACTAATACCCCTTGACCCCCACTCCCCCCTACCCACACCGACGCAGCACCACAGTTTCTTACCACCGTTGTTCATTTTCCAACAAGTTGTTTCGCTAAAGGCCAAGGTTCAGTTGTATAAACCGCGGATAACGCTATGCAACGGATAAATCGCTATCCGGTGGATAAGTGATGGCAAAACGTATAGCGTTATTGACCCGATAGAGTTTTTTCTCGTGATGGCGTTATCCAACCTTTGAACAACCGGGGCCAGTTCGCCATCGCCTCAGGTCAGTTTACCAACGTTTTCCGGTCAGGTCGCAGCACTATGACTGGATTAAGACGTAATTGAACTGGCCAAAGAGGTTACGAATTGACTTGTGACAACGGAGAATTGGCCTTAGACGGTAGCAAAGTGACTGAAGACTGGCAAACTGACGCAAGACGGTAGCGAATTTAAATGTGACAACGAACTGACGTAAGGCATTAGGGAAGTGACCGTGGAACTTGGGACACTTGAATGAAGAAGCCGAGAACTTATTGTTTACTTGTTTTTCCTCAGTCACCTCCGAGTTTCTGTCCCTCTGTCACGTGTTCTGTATCATCTTCATTACCTCGTTATCGTTTATTTTCTGGTCGCATTCGTGTTCAATATCGCTGAGATCATTCAGATATCGCCTTACGACCGGCCATTGTCATCAAGTCTCACACCACAGGCAAACCAATCTTTTTCATCACTGATTGGCTCTGCTGGGGTTAACTCGAGCCTTGGAAGTTCACACAATAGACACTGGCGTCTTCATGACGAGTCGATGACCAATGCGACGTTGTATTAAGAATCTTAAGAAAACCACGACCGCGGCGGTGA